TTGCCTTGTATTCTGTTGAAAAGTTATTTATCTGTGATTGGACCTCTACTGCTTTACTAGCCAAATCAATCTTATTCTTCCACAGTGAGCTTCCTCAAAACCCAAATACAACCACTGACTTATAGAAATTTGCAGTTTAGTCTTTTAACTCTTGATTTTTTTCTTTTTAATAATGTGCCATTTCTATTACTATAAAACATGTGTCCCTCCTTTCTTCTTTTTAAGGTAGTTTTTCATGAGCAGTAGGAAAATCTCTCCAGGTTAAATTATACTTATGAATGATAGTTGGCAGGATATGATTCTGATCCTTTTACAGTACATCAGGTTGGCCTATACAGGCCCGAATATACCCATTTGTGAATATAATTGTCTGTATATTCCAGCAGCAAACTCAAAACCCTCAGTAGGTTACCAAGTAATTGCAACTAAACAAAATGCATAGTACTTTCCAAGAGGTTCTAATTTGTAATAAAAATACTGTATCTCCTTCCTCCCTTTTATCCTTGAAATTTCTTCAGGAATATCTCCTCCCTTCTTTGTGTGGTACATTGTCTACTGCTACTAAAACCCATCATTGTAATTTGTTTCCCTGCTTCATTATAACTGTAATATCCTTTCAGTTTCTCATTCAGTGAGCAGCAATTCCTTACTTCCACCTTTGCTTGCTCTATCACTGTCACTCATGAAATCTGGAGCACGAGTGCTCAGGATAAACCTTTTGTTGGCATCACTAAAATGACCTCTTGGATCCTGGTTCATGTGGAAATTAATATTTTTATAGATTTGCCAACATTCATATGCTGTGTCCTCTTCCAGTTCTTCATGTTTTTCAAAATATGAGATAAAACACATTAGCAAAAACGTAACATCCATCCATAAAAAGAAAAAAAAGAAAAAAAAAAGCCCATTAAGAACATTAAATAATTTTGTAAATGTATAAATAACTATGTATAAATAATTTATAAATAAATAAAGAACATTACATAACTGTAAATGTATAAATATCAAATGTCTCTGAACATTCCCTTAGAGAAGATTTAACCTTGAGGGTCAAGCATATCCAAAGAAGTGGATTGAACCTCTAGGTTGCAGTCCCTGAGATTTAAGAGCGGGTACTCAGAGCAAAATGTTGAATATAGAGTCTACAAGAAGAAGAAGAAACAAGGATGCAAGGAGCAAAATATTTCATAGGTGATCATCAGCATCTGGAATTGGGCCCTTCCTAGTCTCCCTGCTTCTTGCAGTCAGCAAGTCAGCCATTATATTTTTTGCTGGCTGTAGGGTCTGACTTGCCTTCAAAGAAGCTTCACATATATCATACTCGGTTTCTATGGAGATTCTCAATCATCCAGATCATGAGAAGCAAAATGTTTTCAAGAAAAAAACAAGGAAGTCCAGTTGTCTTTTGGAAAAGCACCTTTGGGACATCAAACTCAGTTGTGTCACTGAGATGACAGTGTTTACTGGTTTAACAATGGGTGGCTCAGTGGCTAAACTTGTCGATCAAAAGGTCGGCAGTTCAGCGGTTCGAATCCCTAGTGCTGTGTAACGGGGTGAGCTCCCGTTACTTGTCCCAGCTTCTGCCAACCTAGCAGTATGAAAGCACGTAAAAAATGCAAGTAGAAAAATAGGGACCACCTTTGGTGGGAAGGTAACAGCATTCCGTGCGCCTTTGGCATTTAGTCATGCCGGCCACATGACCACAGAGACATCTTCGGACAGTGCTGGCTCTTTGGCTTTGAAATGGAGATAAGCACCACCCCCTAGAGTCAGGAACGGCTAGCACATATGTGCGAGGGGAACCTTTACCTTTACCTTACCATTGGCAAAGCAGCTAAAATTGGACAAAGTCTTTCCTTGTCATGAATTATATTTGCTGTTCTAGCAGTAGCCATCATTTTAGGAGAATTTCAGACTGGTACTACCACTTTTATAGGAAATGCGTAGCCCATCAAGAGTTATAGATGAAACATCCATCCAAAATACTTTTGAATCAATTCCATCTTGCTGGGATTCACTTACCCTTTGTTTTCCCCCCATAAGTGAATCATGTTCCTCACAATCTTTAGGCATACACATTCAGTCATGAATATGCAATATGACAAACTTTCATGCAGAGGTGCATGTTCAACACATGAATGACGGCAATAACACATTCTAGGTTTTGGATCAAGCATTATTAGGAACCGTCTGCTATGGAGTTTTATGTTAGCAATAACTTTCTATTAGTGTTAGGATCAAATAAAAACCTCTCCCCTGAATTCTTCCATTAAATGGAGCATAAAATCAAAATCTTCACTGATGAACAAATGTACAAATAATTTCTATATCTGTTGGTTCATGAGAGTCATCTTTTCTGAATGAGGGCATCTGCCATTACAGACTATTGCTCTGTTGATGCCTTTTCCTCAAATTTCCACTTTTTCTACTTTATCATTGAGATTCTATGTGATTCCTTGTCCCTTTTATTCATTCATTAAAGCAGGGGTGTCAAACTCAAGGCCCAGAGGCTGGATCTGGCCCGTGGGGGTACTTAGATCTGGCCGATGGGGCCGCCCTGGAAACAGCGAAGGTCTGGCCCACGGTGCCCCTGCCAGCGAAAACCGAGCTTTGTTTTTGCTGGCAGAGGGTTGCAGGAGGCCATCACAGCCGAAAACGGAGCTCAGGAGCCCGTTGTCAGGTTTCAATATCGTCTCAAATAAATGCAGAGTAAATGCAGGTTGAAGTGCTGACATCCGTTTTCTCTGGCAGAGCGCTTGGCACACAACTGGCACCACCGACACGAGTGACGTCAAGCCTGCCATGCCCACTCCAGGCCCCCAAGGTCAAACACAACCCTGATATGGCTCTCAACGAAATCTAGTTTGACACCCCTGCATTAAAGTAAGAACTTGGTAGAACTTAGTATTTTTTTTCATCATTTTTTTTAAATAGATGAAGAGCTACTTTTATTGCAGGCCTTAGTTTACTGCACTCACCAACTCATATTATATTGGTGGTAATAAAAATATTATATAATTACTGCCTTATGCTTATTCTGTCCAGTAAAGTACATAAGACATATCTAAAGAAAACAAGGAACTCAGCAGTGCTTAGAAATACCTGTCTACACTGAAGTTTGTTTGAAAAAGGGGTATTTTTCTTTGCAACATATTCCTGTCACTGGAGAATCATCAACTACATCAAACTGAATTGTTCTCATAAATAGTATAACCACATCTTGGTTCAGTGGAACTAATTTAACAACAGATGCCATGAGAAACAAAATGTTGGTATTTTTAAACTAGCTGCAGTTAATCCACAGGATGCACACCAGAAGATTATTGGAAGAGGAAAAAGAACAGACATTCAAGCATGTCTATTAAACAAAAGGCAAAGCAAGCCAGAAAGAAGATTTTCTTGCTAGATTCAGCTCTTTTTTTTTCATTTATATATGTAAGAATACACCTTTGACCTTTGTTACCCACTTTTAACTTTAGACAAATTTTGAAATCTATTATGTGGAGCCATATTTTCTAGCACTGATGGTCAAAGCAAGATTCTATATGTCTACCCCGTTACATTACATTAGCAAATAAATTATTAAAAAGAGGGAGAACAAATGTAGAATCAAAACCAAGAACCAATGAAGAATTAAATTTTGTTGGTAAGGAGAACAAAGCACAAACAACAAAAGATGTATAAAATGTGAATGGAAAATTCCCATGAAAATACATCAGGTTTCCCTTTGAACACCAGGTAATATTATGCACATTTTGAGAAACAGGAATTGAAACTTGCAGCAATGAAATTATATAATCTTTCAGTATGAGACTAAGGTTTGTTGTTTAATTTAGGAGTAAGGAAACTGCCAATATTAAGAAGACTTATGAAATTAGTTGACACGTGACAATTAATAACTAGAGATTAATGTTTCCTATATCTGAATATGAAACTGTATTTTGATATTTTACCAGTTCATCAATTGCATTTCTTTAATGAAATTGCACCATTCAAGAGATGTAATTAGTTAAACAGTGAATACACTTCTCTAGGCTGTCCAGATTAGGGTTGTTTTTTTTAAAAAAACTATGGTTCTTTGGAGGATCAGAAATCTATATTCTAAAACAAATGGAGCATTTGTTCAGTTCATTAGTTAATTTAAGAAATTAGCAAAACAAAGAAAATGTACTGAAGAGTAAACCTGGAGTTTTAAACAAAAGCTGAGATTGAGGTTATGTACCATGCACCAAATATAATTAATAATTAGGCATTATTAACCATTGCAGCTGCAAGAGTCCAAACTTGGTTTAGATAGATACAGACACGTGAGGATTAAAATGCTTAGAAAACACTGGGAAAAATAAGACCCAGGACTTTCTTGAATCATGGTTCCTGGCAATGTGATAATGTCAGCACATGTCTCATAAGATTAGGTACCTTTTCTGTTCCTGCATTTGTGGAAAGCCCTAGAGAGTTTTGACCCAATTAACAATCTTTATAGCCCATTCGCAAATATGATTACTCAGAGGTTTTAGTAAATGTTTTCGCGACTGCACCTCATTTGACTTACTTTGGTGACAACTATCACTGATCTCTTTAGTGACTCTCAATGTTGAGAATGGAATTTTTATTTAAAAAAAAAAAATCAAAAAAATCTCAGTAAATGATTTCCAGACAGCCATTCGCAGATAATGCGACACAAAAACTGATGTAGGGAAAACTGAGGCACTGTGTGAGAAGTTTGTGGTGTGTGTGTGTGTGTGTGTGTGTGTGTGTGTGTGTGTGTGTGTGAGCGTGTGTTGGACAGCTATTATTAACCCATCTGTGCTCACCATTCAGTTACAGCAAACAAAAACAGTGAGACTGTATATACATTGAGTCCTTCATTAAACTATTGATTCCCCTTAGCATTATCCATAACGTTCCAGCGACTCAGCATGTCAACTGGTGCAGAGCGAGTCTTTTTCCTTTCAATACTTCTGCAGTTTACAGAGAGAGGATCGCTATGATTTATTTACCTGACATTTTCCAGTCCGGATGTCATAGAGGGCCACTGAACCATGGCGAGATCCAACTGCTATTCGATGACTCCGCTCGTAATAGCTGACCATGTAGAACCTGAATTGGACATCAGAACAAGGAAAAAGTGAGATCTGATTGGACTATGGGCAAGATATAAAATGGTGGGGTTGAAGTTTTTTGTTGTTGTTGTGTTTTACCACGTTTGGGTAGGTAAAGGCGATTTTAAAACCAACCTTTTATTTTACAACGCATCACACACAGCCATGGGGCCTCATTCGCCTTTCCCAGAATCCTTTGGGTCACAGCTTTGCCAAAAAAAAAAAAAAAATCTGTTCAGCTTCTTGATAGCAACTCTAATACCTTAACCCGGTGTTTGAGTTCCTATCAAGTTCTTATCAAGAAGCTGAACAGATGTTCGACAAAGCTGTCCCCCAAAGGATTCTGGGAAAGGAGAAGGGGGCACCATGGCCGCGTGTGATGCGCTGTAAAATAAAAGTTTGATTTTAGAATAAATTATCCCGAAACCCAAATAAATTATTCTGAAAAACAGACCAGCTTCTCCGATCTTCCCTGAATTAAATGCAGCACGTCCAACAATTTTGAAAGACTCATGTTCTAGATTTTATCCATGTATATTTCCACCCCTTTGAGGTTCTCAAATGGCTTTCTTGATTTATTTGTAAGATTTGTAAGACTTCTTTTGGCATATAGGCCATGCAAGAAGGCAACAGTAAAGCAAAGATAAAATAGTTAAATTGGTAAGAAAAGAATTAAAATCTCTCTAATTTAAATCGTCCTTTTATTCAGTTGTTTTCCTGCCTAGGCAAATACTGCTATTTCTTTGCATGATATATGTATGTGCCATTTATTTTCTTGGCTTTGTTATGTACTGTACTCTTCATTGTAGTAGACAGCAGCTTCAGCAAGAAAATCTGCTTTCTTTCTTCCATTTTTCCAAGAGAAAATCTTTCTTGTCCCTTTCCTTTCCCCACTGCGTAACTCCACACTTTCAAGAAAATATAGCAGCTCTCCTAACCGGTCTACCTCTGATTTCTGCCACAGCCTCTTCATATAAGTTCAGATTAGTCCTTTCCTTTTTTCTTTTATTCATTCAGTGTTATATACAGCCCAGACTGCAAGTAACATAAACCCTTCCGTCCTCCACCATTCAGTCAGAACTGAAGAAGCTTCTTGGATGAGAAGTAAAATGTCTTCAAGGAAAGACAAAGTTCAGTTGCCTTTTGAAAAAGCACCTTTGAGACAGCCATGACTTGGATGAGAATCTCCAGAGACATTCAGTGTCATTCAGTGCTTAGCTAAAAACTCTCTATTCCACAGATAACTTATGTCGATTACCAATTCAATATACGGACTGGTATTCCACTTCCCTTCTCCAACACACATTGGCCTCCTGATCTGAAGCAGAGGTCTCCAACCTTGGCAACTTTAAGACTTGTGGACTTCAACTCCCAGAATTCTTCAGCCAGCTGGAGTTGAAGTCCACAAGTCTTAAAGTTGCCAAGGTTGGAGACCCCTGATCTGAAACATCCATGCTCTCTTCTCTCATACACTGTAGACTAATAAATTCATCCCAAGCATGAGGCAAAAGTCTTGCCAACCCCACAGTGACTGAGTCTATGAAGTAGCACTTTGGGCCTAGAACTCTGCAAGCCCATCATGGCCCCTATGAATTCTCAAGCAGGGTACAGAGATAAATACAGGTAGTCCTCAACGTACGACCACAATTCGGCCCAAAATTTCTAAGTTGCTAAGTGAGATATTTGTCAAGGGCCCCATTTTATGACCTTTCTTGCCACGGTTGTTAAGTGAGTCACCGCACTTGTTAAATTAGTAACCCGGTTGTTAAGCGAGTCTGGTTTCCCCCATGGACTTGGCTTGTCAGAAGGTTGCCGAAAGAGATCACATGACCCCGGGGACTCTGCAACTGTCATAAATACAAGTCAAGCATCTGAATTTTGATCGTGTGACCAAGAGATGTAGTAAGAGTTGCAAATGTGAAAAATGGTCAATAAGTCACACTTTTCAGGGATGTAACGTTGAACGGTCACTAAACAAACTGTTGTAAATTGAGGACTACCTGTATTTTGGACCAGGGCTGTCGAGACTTAGATTCTAATCTGCCTTTTTAATCAGGGAAGTTCAGAGGGTAACTCTGGGCCTGGCAACTTCTGTCAGCCCATCCTCCTCACTGTGGCAGAGAAAAGAAAAAGAAATGAGACATGTGCCTCCTTGAGGTCCTTGAGGAAAGGGTGATATAAATCTAACTAACCAACCAGTAATTACATTAAATAAAATTACCGCTACAGCGAAGCAGACATTGTGCATTAATCAACGTATCAGTACCGTTACACGGAGACAGCTTTCAAATTAATGACATTAAATATGGTACATTTTCTGTGAATTTCTGCACAAACATTTTTATTGTTAATATAGTTACAGGAGGAAAACTGTCATGTAATACAATTTAAGAGGCAATTGAAAGCTTTTGACCTTCCCTTGTAGAGAAGAAAAGGATCTTCTTTAATTTGAAAACTGAGAGGGATTTCAAATAGGTCAACCATTAAGGATTACGATACTGGGCCAAATGGAAATCTTGGAACATGGGCATAGGAGAAGTATCATGCAGCAAATGAGCTAGATGAAGCCATATATAGAGGCAATAAAGATGGGGTAATATTTTTTTCTCTGTTGGATAGTGCTAGATCTTCAATTTAGTACCTGAATATATCTGGTTTAGCATCTGCTAGAGTTACACTGGATGGATATCACTTACCCAGGAAAAACTGCTCCCATTTATTGGGCCCTTATCCTTCTTCCAAAAAAAAATAAAAAATCTGAGAAATGTTCAGTCTCATTAACTCTAATGAGTGAATAATACCCTTAAAACATTCTCTTAAGATCTGAAGAATGCTGAAAGTATCAGTTATCGAGGGTTGTTGTTGTTGTTGTGGGAAAATAGGAGGAGGAATGTGTGTTGGATATATTCACAGCCTTGAGTTATTTGTATGTATGTATGTATGTATGTATGTATGTATGTATGTATGTATGAATAATAAACAAATAAACAAAATTTTTACTCAGGTTTTGGTGCTGAAATGTCCTAGTCCCCTCACAACCCAGTGTGAATTTATTTTTAATCTGTTGAGGGATTCTATTATAGAAGCACAACCGAAGCAAGCAGGATATATGGCCAGATGCGAAAATGAAAATCCTCATTTTTTCTTTAATATCTCCTTATTTTTTCCCTCTCTAATAAGTGGATGTTTAGAACACGTCTAGATGCTCTTATCATATTTCTCAAAAGTCAAGTTGTCCTTGCATGGGGCTTCAAGAAGGGCAACGCTGCATGAAAATAGCCCAGGGGCTACAAAATAATACTCTTGATCAAATTAACCTTGCTATCTATAATATTATCACATAGCATTTAATTTATCAGTTTAAGTATCTGAAAGTGTTAAAAACTACCTCAGAAATACCTTAATGCTTTTGTGATATTACAGACAGTCCAATTTGTGCTCCCAAAGGATCCGCAGACTATTTTGAAATTAGGATGCATTCATAATATAAGCTTTTCAAAAAGAAAATGGAGTCTGGATATTATGGAAAACCCCAAATCTTAAACATATTAAGACTGCTCCTAAGATACATTTGAGTTTTATTCAGCTCACTTTGTAGCATAATCATAAAATACTCTTCTGCGCTAAAGTGGTAGGCTTAATAATTCAAACTTCTGCTCTATTCTGCTGTATCCAAATTTCTGAAATTCTGAATCGAGAGACTGTAAAATTTTTTTTTTTAAAGAAACATAAATGACATCCTCACCGTGTGCCACTCACAAAATTAAAAAAGGGGATTAAACCCCAATTAGCAATTACTTGGAAGATATTATATATGATAGTTATATATATATATGATAGTTTCCTTTTTGCTGATGTTCTGGGATGTTGCAGTGCATTTGAATATTCATCTGAATATTTTTAGTACTGGCATGGTGTTTACTGGGATATAAGTTTTTTGGATATTATATATATTGTATTCTGTTCATGCTAACAGTGGTTCAGCCTTTGTCTGCTAAGTGGATGGTGATGGTTTGGTCCCCCTTTAGGTTTTTGGGGGTTGCTCTATTTGAGTTGGTTATGATTCTGTGTTCTTTTGGTCTGTGGTATGACTGTCCGTCTCATGTTTTCTTGGGTCTTGATTTTGATTTTGCTGAATTAAGGCTCATATAATTCTTAGGAGCTTCCACTATCTTTTAACATTTTCCAAATGTCAAAAACTACATTATTCTATGCCTAACCCAATTATTGCTTCTATTATTTCAGTGTTTCAGCTTGTAGGATTTCCGTCTGGCATTTTAATGAGCACCTACAATTGAGTGCAATATTAAACAGCAGAGGATAAAGCCTCACCGATACGCAAGCTAAGATCCATGCAAAATGGCTCAAGAAAGCCAAAAGGCATAGGAAGGTTTCTAAACTGGCCAACTGCAAATGTGTTGAAATGTACCGTATTTTTCAGAGTATAAGACGCACCGGAGTATAAGACGCACCTTAGTTTATGGGGAGGAAAATAAGAAAAAAGCTGATTGGCAGGTGGATTGGTCTCTTGGAATACCCCCAATCAGCTGTTCCCAGAAGTGAATTTTAGCAACAGGTTCCTTGGTTGTGAGCTCTGTGCCTTGCTTTTTTTTTTTTTTTCTTCTGCCTCTGAAACTTCTGAAACTCTGTTTCAGAGAAAACTTTTTTTCCTGCCTCTGAAAACCTCCAAAACAGAGCTTCAGAAAAAAAAAGCCTCTGAAGCTCTGTTTGGGGGCTTCTTTTCTGAAGCTTCATTTCTGATGCTTTTTTCAGCCTCTGAAACCTCCATTTGCAAGGCTGGGTGGGGCTACATTTGGAGTATAAAACGCACCCAGATTTTCACCCTCTTTTTTGGGGGAAAAAGGTGCGTCTTATACTCCGAAAAATACGGTAGTTCTCATAATCTATAAACTGCTGGTTGGCTGGTATGGTGACTATGGGAATTATGGGATTTGTAATCCTATGTCTTCATATAACATCTGTAGAACATCCCTATTATCTAATTTACTTATTTTGAATCTGCGAACAGCTAACGGTTAACCGAAACTGTTAAGTATGCATTCATATTCACAGAACATTGTTCTGTTTAATTTAACCGCACACAGAGGTTATGTCAGCTTCTGTTGATTCAGTGATCCCTTGAAATGTATTGCTTGACCAAGGATGCCTAACCTTTGTACAAATTTGGGATCTTTGGAAGGAAGGGGGAGATAGATGAAGAAGTAGTGGTGGCTTGAGGTTCTGAGTCCCACATTCTTTTATATCCGTTGGCAAAGTTGTAAAGCAAAATTCTGGAAAACGATTCACATCAGAACAAACCGAATGTTAAAAGTTGAATTATCATTTCAACTTGTAATATTTGTATTAAATTTAAATTGGGAGACAGTGTGCTTCTGGTCCTGCCTTAGGCATAAAGCCAATTGGATAATTCTGGACCAGCTGCTTTCTCTCAGCCCTAGGAGGAAGGCACAGGCAAACAAATTATGGAAATGTTGCCAAGAAAACTGCAGTAACTAGTCTAGGCAGTAGCCAGGAGTCAAGACTGATACAAAGGCACAAACAATAAAACAAAACAAACCCCTTAAAGTATACTGAATAAGCTTTCTGCATCCTAACTACCACAAGGAAGACATATACTTTTTTACTAGAACAGCTGTTTGATCTCCCCTCTGGAAGAATATGAGATTTTAAATTTGGGGGTTTTATATTTGAGCCAATTATTTAATAATTTTAATTATTTTTAAATCTGTCTTTGTGCTTTTAATCAGGCTGTACACCGCCCTGAGTCCTTCGGGAGAAGGGCGGTATAGAAATAAAATTAATAAATAAGAAATAAATAAGAAATAAATAAGAAAGGCCTACCAAGTTGTGGAGGTGTATGGTGGTATCTAGAATAATTTCGTATCTTAAAAGTAAATCTGATACAGAATTTAATTGAATTTGGAAACCATTCCTAGATTACAAATGAACATATGGATTTGTACCACACACAGGTCAAATTTAGTTTCTTTATCTTTAGAGTCTGGGCTTCAATTTTATAGGATTTTCAAATCAGAATGAACTTTTAGTCGTATGGACAGAATTTTCCAATCACAGGCAGTGAATTATACCAATTTGATCATGGTTACTGATATTCATGCTTTAATGCTTAAGAGTTTAATGCTGATTTTTTCCCCCAGTCTTTGAAATCATATAATATATTCAATTACTCTTAATTAACTAATGATGTATTGGAAAACGAAACCCTCCATTATGTTTGTAAATCCCTTATGCATTTGTTTGTATATTGTTCATTTAATCTCTTTCCTCCTCCCTTTTCTTTATTTGTTTGGTAGAATTTTTTTATATTGTACCAGCCAGCTTGTGACCTATTGGCTCGTCTTTCTTCTTTCTACACGTAAATTTGCATTATCTTCCCTCCCTTCATGACTCTCAGGAAAGCCTCAATGAGCCACCTCCTCCTCCCCCTTGGCCAACCGACAGAACTGCCTGCTACTTTGCTGGAGGAAGGGGTAATGATGGGAAAAACATACAAAACATTCCCTTACAGATGGAAGGAAACCTGGGACTTACCCCAATATGTCTGGCTATATCTTCTGGATATAGAGTAGAATAAAGAGTTGGAAGGGTCATGTGATCACCTTTTGTGACTTTCTGACAAACAAAGTCAATGGGGAAACCAGATTCACTTAGCAACCAATAAAATAGAATAGAATAACAGAGTTGGAAGGGACCTTGGAGGTCTTCTAGTCCAACCCCTTACCCAGGCAGGAAACCCTACACCACTTCAGACAAATGATTATCCAACATCTTCTTAAAAACTTCTAGTGTTGGAGCATTCACAACTTCTGCAAGCAAGTTGTTCCACTTATTAATTGTTCTAACTGTCAGGAAATTTCTCCTTAGTTCTAAGTTGTTTCTCTCCTTGATTATTTTCCACCCATTGCTTCTTGTCCTACCCTCAGGTGCTTTGGAAAATAGCTTGACTCCCTCTTCTTTGTGGCAGCCCCTGAGATATCGGAACACTGCTATGTCTCCCCTGGTCCTTCTCTTCACTAGACTAGCCATGCCCAGTTCCTGTAACCGTTCTTCATATGTTTTAGCCTCCAGGCCCCTAATCATCTTTGTTGCTCTCTTCTGCACTTTTTCTAGAGTCTCAACATCTTTTTTACATTGTGGCGACCAAAACTGAATGCAGTATTCCAAGTGTGGAATATATCCCCAATATATCCTATCCTGACAACTCGTAACACTGAACATACTGTTGTCTGAGTTCTCTTCCCAGATCTAGGGATATTACAGATTCAACAAGCCTTATTCAACATGTTCACATTTCAGCTGAATTGGAGATGGCTCTCTTCATTTGCCATTGAAAATTCCTTTTGGTTCATGGGGTTTTTCCAAGCCATAAGTCTTTAGATCTCTTCACTGCCACCCAAGGGGGAAGCTTGCAGTAAAACTGCTGTTTCAGTCCTAACAATGCCTTGAAGGTAAAGGAATGCTGATAATAAGGGGTACCTGAAATGTTGAAAGCTATGGGAAGCAATGCCAAGGGAGTTTACACTTAGAAATAACAAAGTAAACAGTAATATTTATTCTAAAACACATACACTTTGTTTTCTCAAAACACCACTGCCTTTGAAATCCCATCTTTATTATCTCACTATCTTTGACCTCATGGAGAACATGTATAGTTTGACTTATATAAGTACTGAATGCTACAACATCCAATACTGAAATTAGTACAAACAATGGGTATTCTGGTCCCTATAATTAAGCAAACAGGGACAATTCTTATACAAGTATTTCTGAGATCAGCTAGGCACTTATTATTATACTATTAATATAATAGAGCTGAAATGTATCCCCTCTTCAAGTTATGAAATTGGCTGGAATAGAACAGGGGAAATAAAATAATATCCAAATTTATTTATTGCAATTTTCACATTTTTGCTGTCACTGAGCACTGCTTTCTACAGTGCTTCAAACTCAGAAGACACCAAATGTTGAGAAACACACAGTGCCTTCTGTTCTTATCCTCATATTTTTCTGAGCTGATGATGGGGAACATATGAAGGGATATAATAGGTGGGATTATACCAACTGACATCCCCCCACATGGATCATACAGTTTAATGTCCTTTAGGTAGCTTTTCTGGAGCAGAATGTCAAGAGATGGCAACCTTGGTATAGGACAGTAATGGATAACTGTTGTAAAAACTGTTCACTACTAATTTTGATACTCACATGGTCCTATTATGTTCTTACCTGCAGATAGCTGGAAAGCACTCCTGCAGTCCCTTCTTCTTGACTAATGAGCCTTCAAGACAATACATGATGATGTCCATTACCTATGGATAAAAACAACGAATTATTGTTAACAAATAATTAAATCCTTAGAACAGCCCATTTTGCAACCGTACTTTGAGGAGATATAATAAAACATAGGAAAGAAAACTTCATCTATCATTAGCATATATAGCAGGAATACTGCCACCTAAACAACAGTGGTAACATTATACCACTGTGTACCATTACGGTGGTATCATCGTACCACTATGGTGGTGCAGTGCAGTACTGCAGGCTACTTCTGCTGATCACCGGCTACCGGCAGTTTGGCAGATCGAATCTCATCAGGCTCAAGGTTGACTCAGCTTTCCATCCTTTTGAGGTTGGTAAAATTGAGGACTCAGATTGTTGGGGGCAATAGGCTGACTCTGTAAACCACTTAGAGAGGGCTGTAAAGCACTATGAAGTGATATATAAGTCTAAGTGCTATTGCTGTAATTCAAGTATCTTTTGTAAACTGTTCGAATTTCAGTTATTTCAGGATTGTTTAAAAAGGCAGCATTCAGAATCCCAATGGAAAGTACTTTCCAATGGAAGACAAAGTGAAGAGGCTTAACAGACTATATCCCATGCGTTATTCCAATCACATGCAGCAAAATTCATACATCAAAGAACTTTCAAGCAGCCTTTGTATCGCAAGGCTTAAAACATGCAACAGTCAGGATTTGGGGATTTCAGCTATTACATGTAAAAAGAATGCAAATGTCTTAAAACTGAGATACCAATAGCCTCCATGGATTAAACATACCATGCATAGGAAGAAAAAAAAAATATTTTTGTGATTAGTACACTGCCTTATGCTAAGTCTGCACCTAGCTGTCTGTTCTGATTATTAGCAGCTCTCTGAGCTACCAATATAATTTTCAGTTGTAGACTGAAAAACCTGGATAGATTGGTATTCTTCATGCAAAGCAATACTTTAAATTAACCATGCAGATTGCTTCATATAGCACTTAAAAGTATAACTGGGAATGTGTCATTTAGACCAGGGCTCTCCAGCCTTGGCAAATTTAAGCCTGGCAGACTTCAACTCCCAGAATTCCCCAGCCAGCAAATCTGGCTAGGAAATTCTGGGAGTTGAAGTCCTCCAGGCTTAAACTTGCCAAGGCTGGAGACCCTTGATTTAGACTACAGTATCTGATTCACTGTCTAGTACAAGATTGCAAATGAAAAGATCCCCAACAGATGGCTATTCGTGTCCAACCTCTCTTTGAAGAGCTTCAGTGAAAGGGAGAATCTTTCTGGTAATTGATCCATTGTCAGATCTAGTCTTCCTTTTAGAAAGGTTTTCCTATCTTTCAGCCTGAATCTAACTTCCTATAACTTCACAAGCCTTCAGGTTCTTGAAGAGCGATAGCATATCCTCAGTCAGTTGACTTTTCTGAAACTAAACATACTCTGGTCCCTCAAGTTTCTTATCAGAAGACTTAGTTTCCAGGAGCCATTTCACTCATTTCCTTTTATGAGTTTGTTCCAAGTTTGCCTGAATCTTTCTCAAAATATGATGTCCAGATCAAAGTGTGGTCTGACTAATACAGAACACAAAGAAACTATTTCTATGATTTGAAAACGATTTCTACTGTGCCTTGTGAGGGACCATGTCACACTGCTGACTCATATTCAGCTTGTGATCAACTTCTGTATATTCTTTTCTTCTTCTTGTGCCCTATCCGTCATCGGATGTTGGCGATCATGTTGGCGATCCTATTTTTATCAGCAGTCGCATGAAAAAGTGCTGCTGAGTTTTGTCCAAACCAGTCCCTTAGATTTTGAAGCGGTGATGTTCTTCTGCCTGGACCTCGTTTGCCTTCAATCTTTCCAGGCAGGATTAAGTGAAGTATGCCATATTTTTCCTGGGTGTCACATCGCATATCTGAAATATTCTAACTTTCACTTTTTAATGGTTTTGATGATTTCCTTTGGCTTTCCCAGGTGGCTTATCACCTCCTCATTCTTTTCTTACATACTGTTTATCAAGCCAGGTATCTCTTTCCTTATTAATATGTACTGTATCTGACTTCTTTTTCCTAGATGATGGGCATTGCAGTTGTTGCTATCAAATTTCACTCTATTGCTTTTAGTTTTCTACTATAACTTAGAAATATCATTGTATGGTAGCTACCCAATCCCTTTAGTGCCATCAGCCAAGAATTCCAGTTTTTGCACAAATTTTCTGGTATTTCAAACCTCTACTCAGAGAAATGGCGAGTTAACCCTCTCCCCTACATAACTGTTTGACTAAATCAGTTACTTGGGCTAGAATGTTTACAGGAGATGCTAACTTCCTTTCCTTGACCCAGTTAAGAATGTTGTGGGAATGCCAGCTTTGAAAATAGTTTTACACCCACCTCTATTGAAATCTCCTTTGGCCCTCAATTAATTTGCTAAATGTTGTGTGGCACATTGCCAAATGCTCTAGTGAAATCAAAGTAGTCTGTCTGCAACATTCCCACAATCTATTAAGAAAGTCATTCAATCAAATGTTTTAAAAACAATATTAGTCTGGTGAGACTTGCTGACCTTTCGTAAGCACTTAAATCATTTAATGCCTTTGAAATGATTTTGCAATGACAATGATCTGTTGTACCAACAGGTAGGCCAATGCAAAGGCTCTTATCTTCTTCAATACAGGATAAACTCAAACATAAATATCAACTGTTATTAACATGTAAGCATAATAAAATATTGACATACCTCTACAAGGAGATCCACAACATCTGTTGGCATTTTTTCAATAAGGATTTCAATAACCCTCAGAATTTCTCCCTTTGCTCGAGCCAAGGTGGTGGTATGGATATTTTGTTGAGATTGTGTATTAGCTTGAAGAGCAGTGTGCCTGTGTACCTACAAAAACAAAGGTATTTAAGAGTTAATTTGTAAGCTGCCCAGCATCTCCTTATAGAGGAGATGGGTGGGATAAATATTGAATAATAAACATATATATAGGGGTACTTGCAAATATTTTCTATTAAAATTTGATGGATTCACAATCATAAGTAGAACAAAGTGTTAAGGTTTTGTTTAATACTCTGCTTTTGGTATGTATACATGGCCCAGTTTGTTAACTTTATGGAATATTCAGTGCTTCAACCATACTTCTTAATAAGTTACTGTCACAAATGAGCCCAAATACATATTCATTTAGTGTAGTTCAGATTATTGTTCCACATGCTTTTATTAGAACATTTATGCTCAGAAGTACTGGTAATAAATTCATCATAATTTGTGGATTTTGAAGCTCTAATTTGCAATACAAATGTCAGGCTCAAAAAAATCAGGTCTACACATGAAGCAGGAGTAAAATGCTCCCGGTTCAGACCGGATCGCCCGATCCGGTAGCGATGGCAGAAGGTGATTTGGAGAACCGGTAGCAAAAATCCCTGCCCCCCCCATGCCCAGCTGAGCCGTGCAATCATCAGAGGCTTTTTTTTAATTTTTAAAAGCATTTTTATACAGCCTCTTCGGCCGAAAAAATGCTTTTAAAAGTAAAAAAAAAGCCTCTGATGATCGCGAGGCTCAGCTGGGATCATCAGAGGCTTTTAAAAGCATTTTTTCTACAAAAATACTTTTAAAAGGCTCTGATGATCCCAGCTGAGTTGCCTGATCGTCAGAAACTTTTAAAAGCATTTTTTTTCTACAACCTCTTTGGTCGACTCCACTCTAGATTTGTTGATCACTATAAAGTGACAAAAGAAATATTATGTTAAAAGCAGTATCCCATTTTCATCTATAATCGGCAATCTGCCGACAATCTAGAGCCCCAGAGACTCTAATAAATATGCACATCCATTTGTTTTGGGGATAAAAAGCCTGACTGAAGCATTATTTTTCTCCTCTTTCCTATTTCAAAAAAACTCCATGTTTTGTGTAAAGGCATTGCAACTGGTGAGACGTTGAAATATACAACCTCTTGTACGTGTAGATGATGCAAATTCAGATATACATGAAATCCAGCCATTTGGAAAGGAAGGGAAAAAAGCAAATAGATGCTCAAATGTTTCTTGTTGCTAAACAATGAAGGCATTGTTCCCTCCTGAAGGGAAGCACATGGCCAAAGGTCTTCTGCTTACCTCCTTGGCAATAGTGGTGATGAAAGCGGGTGGCCTGGCCGTGGCAATGAGGGAGAGAGCGTGTCGTGCAGAGCGGGCGGAGTCCGCTGCTGGACTCAGAGGCAGCCCCATTTTGATGCTAATCAGAGATCAGACAAAGAAGGAAGGGTGATGGTGGGGGGGGGGGGAGGAAGAAAAGAAGCATTAGAAATATAGACTGAAAAGATTAGACACAGCTTATAATGTCAGTTCAAGGTCAACGGGAGCACTCAAACAGTTAGAATATAATGGACTCCCAACAATGAGCAGTGATTAGAAGTCAGGGTGTTCTAGCAACTAATACAAAATCAAATAATTAACCGTGAAGATTGAAAACAGTATGTGCATCTGTCCAAAGTGTTAAAAAGGCCTTGTTAACAAATTATCTAGCTGTAGTACTGAATACATATCAAGAACCAAGATCAACACAAATGTATACTGCCGTGCCAAAAAACACAACAACAACAGCATTTTATATCTTGGCTAAAGTTTAAGACGCAGTGTGTATATAATCCTGCTGTTAGTTATTGCTATATCAGTCAACCTATCATATTTTTGGAATAGCTGACATTGGAACTACAGATTTTAGCATGGCCACCCTCTTTCCAAGTACAGTTATTCTTTAAAAAAAAAAGAGGTGCCATTCATAGCAAATACAGTCGTTAGAACTGAAATCACTTACAGTACATTGCTAGGACAAATAAAAGACAGAATAACTGCTTCTTTCTCACATGTCCAATGAGTTTACTCTTACATACTAAGAAGCAGGAAACAGAAAATGTGCAAGTCTGATCAAATTCAAATACTTCAATAGTAACAGATCAGAACTCTTATTCTACTGACTATGCAGTCATTAGCACTGCATTTGACTCTGTGGATGTCCCAAAAGTGCTTTTTCTGGAGGCAACAGGACTTCCTTGTTTTTTCTTTTGAAGACATTTCGCTTCTCATCCAAGAAGCTTCTTCATTTCTGACAGGATAGTGGGGAATGGAAGGGCTGAAAAAAAAAAGCACTTTTGGGACAACTATGATCTGGATGACTGAGAATCTCTACAGACTTTGACCCTTTGGATGATTTTATGTAGGTCTTTCCAAGTGGGGCATAGCCTGAGAACCAAAAGCCAAATGGTAGGTGTAAAGAGCATTAAAAAACATTATAGTTTTCTCTCCATTGTCCCAAAGATGTTTTTTTTCAAGAGGCAAATGGACTTTCTGGGTTTTTTTTGAAGACGTTTCACTCCTAATCCAAGAAGCTTCTTCAGCTCTGGCTGGTTGGTGGGGAATGGGAATTCCCTACCATCCAGCCAAAGCTGAAGAAGCTTCTTGGATGAGAAGGGAAATGTCTTCAGAGAAAAACCAGAGTGTCTAGTTGCCTCTTGAAAAAAAGCACCATTGGGACAATCATGACCTAGATGACTGAGAATCTCAGTCAGACATTTTCCCTCCATTGTGATCTATCATTGTGATAGGTGTAAACCCATCCTCCCAATCTCCAGTGAGTTTGCTCAAGGTACTTTTTTTTCTTTTACTGTTTGATTTTTTCAAACAATAGAATGTTCCCCTTCTTCACACAGGAGGCCTGAGAATTGATCAGCTGTGCAGGAGGGGGAAAGGCTCTCCAGGCAGCAGCCACAATATACACAAATTGTGAGTTAGGGCCACATCTTAAAGACTTCCAGTTCCAACTCCAATGAATAATAATTGTTAGAGAACTTCAATCATGGGAACATTATTTGTTGCTGGAAGGAACCTCATATATAAGTCTCACTTAAAAAAAAATCAAACTAAGAAAATACTTAAAAAGAAAATGTAAGAGATCACCAGACTGAGCCCAAGGGAGGGGTCAAATGTGTCATCAGTCTCAAGTCTCAAGTCCCTTCGGGCCCAAAAGAGATCTAAGTCCAGCCCACCTTGAATTCTCTTATTTACCGCCTATTTGCTTTGACTGTTAGTAGTTCAGATTCTGTTGTGGCCCGCCAGCGGCCTGCGCAGATCGTGGCTGATTCCGACGACGAGGAGGCTGGTGTGGGGTCGCGCCGGCAGCCAGCGCTCGTGTCGGACAGAAAGGAGGCTGAAGAGGATGTGGTGCCAGAGGCAGAGACTCAGCCTGGGCCTTCAGAACTTCCAGAGGGTCCTTCAAGTGGAGAGAGCGAAGTGGAGGAGCCTCTCCTCAATGCTCGAGCATGCAGGGCTGCCAAAAGGCAGGAGTGGCTACTCAGGAGGAGGAGGTCTCGTCGAGAGTAAGGCTTGAGGATAATTGGCCACTCCCTTAGCCTATTTAAGTCACACACAGTTAGTAATTTCTTGCTGGAAACAATGTGTAATTATTACAGAGCATTTTTGAAGAGTGAGTGTCTTATCGTATCTTGTTTTCTGGGCTGGTTGCCAACCTTTGTCGGACTTTGTTTATTCTTGGTACGTTATAACTTTGATAAGGACCATTGGTGTGTGTCACAATCCTTGGGAATCCGGAGCTGGGGCAGAACAGATTCTTGTAGAGAGCTTTAGCATACAATAAACCTATATTCTTTTGAATATTCTTTTGAAATGCCTGGACTCCTGATTTTCTGCGCTTGACAGGAAAGACAAGTTAGATTGAAAGTGTTTTCACAAATGAGAATAACAGATATAATCTTTTTTTTTTTACTTGGATATTTCAGGATTTCAGATGACCATCACTGTCTAATTAATCAGTAATTCCTACAGGTAGTCCTCATTTACTGATTGTTTGTTCAGTGAACGAAGTTACCATGGCCTGAATAAGGAGACTTACTGCCAGTCCTCAAAGTTGCAGCTGTTGCAACATCCCTGCAGTCACACAGTTGTGATTCTGGCACTTGGCAACCAATGTGCAGTACATTTACAAACGATCACAGTGACCCTCTGTCACACAATCGACATGTACAACCTTTGCAGCAGCTCCTCAAAAGCCAAATCAATGGGGAAGCTGGCAGGAAGTCGCAAGTCACAATCATGCGACAATACGCTTAGCGACTTTGTGGTGATCCGCTTCACGACCACAGGCAGAACTGACAAAACGGCCGTCACAAGAATCAGTCTATTATTCCCAATAAAATGCACAAACTTTTGTAATGTTTAAAGAGGCGTGCGTTTTTTTTTTTACATTTCCTTTCCGAATTTGAGTCTATGCGAATATTTCCTCAACATTTTCTCCCCACCAATAGGATGATCTCTGTAACGTTAGATATGGACCAATTTGAAGAGGTAGAGCGGAGGTGGGTGGATGCTGGGCAGAAACACCAGAAAGAAGCCATTAATTTAAAATGCAATCTCCTTAATGTACCTTTCTCGTGTTTTATGACTTTCAGAGCTAAATAAATAAATAAACAAATCGGAATGTGTTCTTTTTCTTTCCTCCTCCTCCTCCCACTTCCTGATGGGAAGGCATAGATTTTTCTGAAAGCAACAGGCTCCTTATTAATTCATTAATGACACTCTCTAGTGTTAGTATGTGGCCAGAGATTAGCCCCCTCCTGTAGCTGAGCCAGCTGGTCTATCAGAGGCAAGAACTGTGCATGAAGGAGCAGGCACACTGCCCCGATACCCAGGGCCAAATTAAAAGCAGATGCAAAGCTAATATGAACAAGGGAGCGTTGAGTTGGTCCCTATAGTCGGATTTTTATTGAGGGATTTTTTTTTTTTTTTTACTCCTCTGCATGGTCAGTACAAAGAGCGCCTTCCGTGCCTGCAAGGTGCATGCTATGCAGGGAACCTGCTCATGGTAAAAGTAATAAATGTCACTGTAGCTTGTATGTATGGATTTGGGCAAGGATCACGGGGACAATAGTGGAACATCTGCTGTGCAGAGAGAGAATTCGGTTCTGTCAAAGGGATCAGACGGCAGCCGAGAAAGGCCTCCTCTGCGGAAGGGAAGCAAGACCAGAAGGCAAAACCAGAAGAGTCAGAAGAGAGGATTTGTGGGCTAGAGGTGAAAATAAATTGACCCGGGGCAAAGACAGTTTTCTTATATCCATCGGGTATTTGTTTGTTGTTTGTTTGTTTGTTTATTATAAATAATTCAAAACACACACGATACAAGCAGGCAGAGAATGGTTTCTGAACCCCCCCCCCACAAACTCTTTACCAGACACAGCCATATGAGATACATGTACTCTCTTCTGTGATAAAGTGACATCTCATATTTATGTTTGGGTGGATGGGTGGGTGGGTGTTTGTGGGTGTATTTCTGTTCTCTCCTTGTACATTTAGGTGAGAATATGAACTGGGGAGCATGAATGAAGCCTAAGATGATTAGAAGGGAAGAAAGCTAAGAATGGATGAGTCAACAACACCGTGAACCGCTATCCAACTGACTGCTGCATAGGGATGTACTGGGGGGAGTTTTTCTACAGTATTTTCCCCAGCTGGCTTCAGATGAATCTGGTCCATTGTTTTTTCTTTCATTAGCTTTTCCCACCACAACACATTTTATCCATTCTGTTCAGTTTCTGGATAGGATTAGTGAACCTGGTAAACAGCAACAGAAGTATTGCAAGTATATGAGTCACCAGAAGTACCAGATTGCTTACCATTTCTTTAAATATTGTCAATCTCTCAAAGCGAAGGGAGGGAGGCAGGGAGGGAGGGAGGCAGGAAGGATGGAAGAAGGGAAAGAAGGAAGGAGCAATGGAGAGAGAGAGAGAGAGAGGGAGGAGGAAGGGTGTGTGTGTGAGTGTGTAAGAGGAAGGAATGAAGGAAGGAGGGAGGAGGGAGGAAGGGAAGGGGAAGGGAGGGAGGGAGGAAGGAAGGAAGTATATGAGTCACCAGAAGTACCAGATTGCTTACCATGTTCTTTAAAATATTGTCAATCTCTCAAAGCGAAGGGAGGGAGGGAGGCAGGAAGGAAGGAAGAAGGGAAAGAAGGAAGGAGCAATAGAGAGAGAGAGAGAGGGAGGAGGAAGGGTGTGTGTGTGGGTGTGTAAGAGGAAGGAATGAAGGAAGGAGGAAGGAGGGAGGGAGGAAGGGAAGGGAAGGGAAGGGAAGGGAAGGGAAGGGAAGGAAGGAAGGAAGGAAGGAAGGAAGGAAGGAAGGAAGGAAGGAAGGAAGGAAGTTCTTGAATTATGGACATAATTCTCAAAT